TCTCTCGCCTCCTGGTAAGCTCTATATACTCTCTAGAAAGTTGCGAATGAGCTAGAAACGGCAGTGGCTGATGCGTAGGATAGCTCCGAGGCCAACCTAGCCAGGCACTTCGAGCCGTGGCCGCGCCTGGCCTTGCGCTGAGTTTCCCCTACTCCGCTCGCCACTATTCAGCGGATGCCGGCAAGAAGGACGAGAATGCGGGAAATGAGAGCAAGCAGGAGGATAGCCCCCCTCCCTACACTCACCATGGCTCTGCGATCAACTTCAACTGGGGCCGCGAAGAGAAGGAGAGAACAGGCCCGACTCTGTCGGCGGACAACTGGGAGGAACACCCTGACGCCAAGATTGAGGACTTTGAGGAGCTTCCCTACAAGGGCTTCGGTATCAACCAGCACATGGAGGTCAACGCCGAGTTCAAAAAGGTCCTGACCGAGGTTGTCCGGGAGTTCCGCGCTCCCATCATGTACGCCATGGCGTACGGCTCCGGCGTCTTTCCTCAGTCCAAGGTCAGCCGATCTGTGTCGGACGAGGATTTTCGCGCTGTCCACCCTAAGCCGTCCCCTTCATTGATGGAGGTTCAGAAGGGTGGCCCCAAGATGATTGACTTCATCTTTGGCGTCACTCACACGCAGCACTGGCACTCGCTCAACATCAGACAGCACCGTCACCACTACTCTGGCCTGGCTAGCTTCGGTTCGGGCCTCGTCTCTACTACCCAGGATCGCTGGGGCGCAGGTGTCTACTTCAACCCCTATGTCACCAAGAAGGGCATGCTCATCAAGTACGGCGTCACGTCCATCGACAACCTCTGCACCGATCTCTCTACCTGGAACAACCTGTATCTCGCGGGAAGACTTCACAAGCCGGTTAAGATCCTGCGTGATCACCCCAGAGTTCGCCTAGCGAACCAGGTCAACCTGATTTCGGCGGTCCGCACTGCTCTCCTGCTTCTGCCCCCCAAGTTCACCGAGAAAGAGCTCTTCTCTACCATTGCTGGCATTTCGTACCTCGGCGACCCGCGTATGTCTCTTCCTACCGAGAACAAGAGCAAGATCTCCAACATTGTGGACAACAACATGGTCTCCTTCCGCAAGCTCTACGGCCCATTGCTCAACACTCTTCCCAACGTCGACTTTGCAGAGGGAGCCGACCAACAGAGCAAGCACGCCGCCGACGCCGAGTACGACGGTGCCATGTACCAGGATATGGACCCCATTAAGCGTGGTAACATGGTCCGACGCCTGCCTCAGGCATTCCGCTCGCGTCTCTACTTCCAGTACCAAAAGAAGTTCATGGTTCCGACTGCTGATTTCAAGGCCATGATGGACGCCTCAAAGGATGAGGACGCCGTGAGCTTCAAGCGCCGCGAGGGCGGTGGCTTTGAGCAGCGCATCGTCCAGGACAAGCCCGAGGAGTTGCAAAGTTCCATCCGCAAGGTCATTCGTCAGACTGTTAATTGGCCTGCGACCGCCCAGTCGATCAAGGGCTTCTTCACCGCAGGCGTCGGCCGCTCCGTTCGGTACATGTCCGAGAAGATGACAAAGTACAACGAAGGTAAGGCAAAGGCCAAGGCCAAGGCTGATGAAGACAAGAAGCAGCCCGCCGAGGACACGGAGAAGCCCAAGAAGGAGGAGTGAGCATGATCAGACGCGTGATCGTCGTTCACTCGCGACTATCTGGAGTGCGCCTTGCGCACCCCGCTTGATGCATAACGACTTGTTGATTTGGCGACGGTCTCGCAATTGGTACATATTGAAACATCTCTCGACGCTCTTTGGCTTCGACTTGTATATTTGGCAAATGGTGCATTAGGCAGAGCATTCTTTCCCCCTCGGTCACCACGCGGAGATTGGATTGAGACCGCTCCGCAGTGTGTGTGCTCTCCTAGCCCTTGCAACTGATTTTTCGAGCTTGCCCAACTCGTCCCCTCACCCGGGTCTTTCTTTTGTTCCTGCTTTGCTTTCGGAAATCTGCATCAGCATTGGGAGGCGGTTCCCCAGATTAGAATTGGAGGGTTGGCAAAAAAGGGAAAATTGGTTTCTACAAGATCTCGCTCCGGAAGAGAGGCCATGGTTTTGGTGATCACTCTGAATTTTCCTGACCAGTGTTTCTGAACACTAGCCAGAGACTTGGAAGGGGGTTATTCGCCGTTGGGAGTGGGAATTTTGGGGAAACAGACCTCTTTCTGGTTGACGAGAGAGGATGGAAATTGGCGTTCTGAAGGCATGTAACAAGAGTATTCACCGGGAAGAGATATCCCCCCGAAGGCCACTTCTTTGGCAGATTTGAATGAGCTGCGATGACGTCGCTCAAGATTCACAATGATTTCGAGCCCGAACGTAGCTTAGACGTGATGTCTGCGCTTGGTAAGAGGATCATGTTTAGTCTGTCATACAGTCTTGCACGTCTACTACGCGAAGTGGACGATGAAGACCCAGCAAGACTGACAAACGCTCAAGTTGAGGCCCAGAAAACACCCAAACCACGACAAGTCTCCAACAATGCTTTGATAATCATGGAATTATTAATACAGGCCCCGGTTGCAGGCCCGGCTAATGGTACAAGAGGTATTCGTTACATCATTCATCTTCACGACCTGTGGTCAAAGATGCATTCTACCACTTCTTCTTGGCGTACGAAGCAGCACCATCAATCAACTTGTCAGTGAACCCATCACTCTTCTTCTTCTCCTCCTTCTTGTCCTTGCCTCCGCCACCGAGGATCCCGCCGAGGAGACCTCCACCGCTGCCACCACTGCTGCCGTGGTTGTCGTGGCTGCTGCCGTGGCTGCTGTGGTTATCGTGGCGGTCGTAGCTGTCGCGGCGGTCATAGCTGTTGCGGCCTGTGATGATATTAGTTTGACTGTATCTTCTCAAGGGAGAGAAAGAGGGAACACAGTAGAGAGGAGAGTAAACTTACGTCCAGAAGAGTGACCACCAGAATGTCCATACTCTTCACGACCACCGCCGTAGCCGCCGCCACCGCTCATGCCACCACCCATACCGCCGCCGCCACCGTTGTAGTTATCGCGGCCGCCTCCCATGCCACCGGAAGGACCGTAGTTGTCTCGGCCGCCTCCGCCTCCGTAGCCTCCGCCCATGCCGCCGCTCATGTTGCCGCCCATGTTTTCGCGGCCGCCGCCTGAGTAGCCGCCGCCGCCCATGCCTCCTCCCATGCCGCCGTTCATACCGCCACCTCCGTAGTTTTCTCTAGGGCCGTCGTTGTAGCCGCCGCCCATGCCGCTGGAGCCGTAGTTTTCGTGTCTTCCGCCGTGCATTGTGAGTTTTGGCGGAGGGTGTTTAGAGGGTGGGTTTATTGGTTGAGGATGTGAGGGTTTTTTGTAGATTGTGAGAGGTGGTGTTGATGAGTGAGACTCGGGTGAGATTGTAATTGTAGTTGTGGTTGTGATTGATGATGAGAATGGATTGGTTCGGAGCGGCTTCACACTGGATGTCTTTATACTCGATTTAACTTACAGTCTCGACACAAGTCCGTCATCGTGGCCAAGGAACGCGTCGACGTCCGTCATCGACAGCCCGTCAACCTGCTTGCGACTGAGTGCATGTCGACTTCTGACTTCATCCGTCCTCGGTCCCCTCCATCCAACAAGTCTCTTCCACGGGTGGTCTCCATCGAAAAGTACATCACCAAGCATCACACACTTTCCCAAATCCCCAGAAAAAGAAGCATACAGAAATAATGGGGAAGACGACGTCAGAGCTGTCCATGAAGGGGGCAAGGGCAGTGTCATTGCACACGTCTGGATTCAAGCATTCAAACAGTGTCTTAGCTAGTTGAGATAGAGAGAGAGAGAGAGAGAGAGAGAGCCGTCCGAAACTGAGAGTCTGTGAGGGTTTGTGGGGATTTTCCGGGCCAAGTGCCGGGTGAGTGCCGTGTAAACCGTCTTGGTATTTGGTTTCCTTGGTGGAGATGCTTGATATGTTGGATCCAGGCCAGGTTTCTCTACGGTGGTGCCGTTTGAGCCTCATTGTGGGCTCTAGTGACATCCTAGCCTGCCTACCCTGTCACAGTGCCACGCCTGTTCCGTTTGTGTGAGGTGAGGTTGCACACTGCAAAGGGCTGGGAGTTTGGGAGAGGCACAGAGGGAACGCGGGAACATGTCGTGAACCGCGATGGTGGTCCACACATCTGATCTCATAACCCGACAGTCATTTCCTAACGGGGTGATTAACCGGCCCGCTTTCTTGACGGGAGAGGCGTAACATTTCATAGGTTTACCACGCCGAATGATCTCTAGTCTTCTAGTGTGTTCGTACGCAGGTTCCGTTGTGCCGTACTGCAATGGTGCTCAAGACACGAGTCCAATGTCAAGAGTTGGTCACTCACAGGTGGCGATGTGGGGGGCAGTAGAAACCGGGCTGACTAGGAGTGGGAAACTTGGATGGGGTGGATGAGCGCCACTGGTTTATTTATGGAAGGACCCTGCTTTTTAATCATCGTCCTGGGTGTACAATTTCAAGTACAATCTTACAATCCTCGTTGACATAATCTACCACTTCCGTCTCATTTTGAGGCTTATTTGGAGGCAATAAGACATGTCGTCGATTCAAGGTGCGTAACGAAAGGATAAAGGGTCTTACAGTACAGACTCATCCCCTTGCGCGTTCGGACCTGGAACCGTTTCCTGTGACATCGTTTCGTTGCGACGCTGGGTGGGGTTTGATGGGATGACGCAATGGCATTTCTTGGTCCGATGGGATGCTCCCCTCAGCGAGTCCAGCGACCGTGTGGTCTGTTTGCCGTTTACCGTTTGCCAAGCAGAGATCCAAATGGTCAATAGAACCTGATCCAGTGTGCTAGTAGGTTCGAGCTGGCCAAGTATGTTACTACCTACTGCTTTCACAGGGCTTCGAGCACCTTTGACGCTTGAGCAAGAGACCAAATTACCCCTCTACCGGCTGTCAATGCCTCGGGCGTACGAGTCTTGGCCCCTGGCAGGGCCCTACTAAAAGGTTAGACCAAGGTACGGAACTACGGATACACTACGAGAGCCTGCTAGGGCTTGGTACGGACTACGGAGTAATCTAGGTACCACAGTCCATCGGGGAGTTCATAGCGGGAGAGACAATCCGGGATCTTCCCGCGACTCCGCCAAGGGGGTGGGAATGATGGCGTTGGCGTTCCAGGGCGTTGAAACTATCTTCTTTCTGAATTCTGGCAGCTTGACGTATTGCTACGCTTGTCATGTCAAGTCCAGAAACGCAACACGCCCTACTTGCTGATGGAATCCAATGCTTGAAGATTGTCAATTCTTCCATACCACGATGATCCAAAGCTCAGGGATGGGATAGGAACATGACCTCCTCCGTAAGGTGCTAAGAAGGTTCTCTAGATTGACCAGACTCCAAGAACCTGCCCCGACCACGCCGTCGCATGCATATTGGCCGGAACCCCATTTTGTCTTTTTTGCCCATTCTCATGCAGCGCAGCGCAGCGCAGCGCCGCGCCGCGCCGCACAGCCCACCTGACGGACAGCGCAGTACGCAGCATATGACATTGACATTTGTAGAAACTAAAGAATAGAGATGGAGGAAGAAAATATGCTCTTTTCTATACTCATACCTAGTGGTGTAGTGTATCCCTGAGCAGTAGAGGCATTGGGATGCGGGAAAACGGACAACACCACATGAAGGGACCGCATGAATGCATGAGGCCGGTCCAAGAGGCGAAATAGGGAGAGAAACGAGTTGACTGTTGGTCCAATTCTTCTCCCTCCCATGCCCCGTCCGTCCAAACATCGTCAATGAATCCCCCGTCTGACCTTTCTCTCTGAGCGAGCTGAGCTGCGTGTCTGCAAATCCCAAAATCCCTCGGGCTGCGTGTTCCTCGTACTCTCCCACCCACCCACCATTACATTGCCCATCTTGGAGACCACCCTTGCCTGGACATGCTTGGCGCTGTTCCTCTTGGACTTTTTCATTCTGGAGTAAGGCGGGCAGGACATCCTTTGCCTCCTTTCTACTTTTCTTCAGTCCGTCCGTCCTGTTCCCATCGTCAGCAAACACCCCGCAAACGTCGTGTCCAGTCAGAGCTTGCTTGTTTTTTTCTTTCTTTGCTTCTTCCAACCTCTTCGCTGTTGTCTTCTCACCGTTGATATCCTGGGATTTCTTCATAAAAACGAACCTGCTGGATCGGTTACACCGCTTATCCCGGCCGGAAACCTACCTTACCCTCACCTCCTTACCTCGAAACCCGACCACCATCCACCACACCCACCCACCCACACCCCATTGTTCCTTTCCATCTGCAGAGCTCTCAGAAAAAAGGACGGTAGCAACGGCTGGAAATCCACAATCTCGCAGTAGTTCGGCCTTCTGTAGCGGTGCGCCCGCTCGCTTTCTTCGTGTTCCATTTGCTCAAATCTTCAATCAATCACCGCCAAGCAACCCCCATCCGCGGGCACACCAGGGGGAGCATTCTATTAAGTGGTTGGTTGGCAAGGATGTGAATGCGAGGAAAGCTGCTCCAAACGAACCAAACGAATCACTTGGACGACGTTAGCTTTCCCAACCTCCGCCCAATATTGTCCATTTCTCTACCTTCTTCTTTTCTTCCCAACCGCCGGCCTTTGACCTCAATTTCTTTCCCCCGTCGAACGGGCCATCCTCGCAGGTGATTATCGGCGAACCACCTGAATCTTTCAATCTACGCAAGAGAATCGACGCCTAGACGCCGCATCCGGAGGAAAACCCAAGAATCCCGGGATTCAAAATTCTGGCCGGTCCATCCGTCGCTGTCAGCCGCCGAGGCCGCCGCCGTTGCGATACAACCCTCGACAACGACGACAATTCCGATCCGAGCGAACGAAACCAGCTGTGCTAACCGCAATCGGAACCTCAACGACTCGAGGAAATCGCAAAAAGCCGACTTTTGGAGTACCATCGGCGCATGATTCCACGATAGAGGCACCGCAACCTCACCTCGCGATCGAGGCGAAGCCCTCCCCCGCCATCTCAGCATGACGCGCCCGCGCATCCCCGCCCTCTACGGCATCCTCCAGTTCTGCCTCCGCCTGACCCTCGTCGTCTTTGAGGTCTGCGCCCTCGCCGCCCTCATCACATTATCGAGATATGGCTTCCACTTCCCGCTGGGATACGTCACAGTAAGCCTCTCACGCACTCTCTACACTCTGTCACATATATCAGAATGAATACTAATAACCCCAAAAGTCCATCTCAGGCATAATCTTCTCCATGACCGAAATGGTCACCCTTGCAAACTCAACCCACCAAATCCCCCGCATGCGCACCGGCGCCATCGTCGTCGCCGATTTCGTCCTCTTCGTCCTCGGCCTCGTCGCCTTCTTCTATTTTATTATCCTCAACGGCTGGCGCACGGGGAGCCCGAACCGCGAGTACCGCGCCTGGCGCGAGGATCCGCTGCGGCGGGAAAAGGAGACGTGGGCACCGTGGTACATGTGGCTGCAGCTCATTGCCGCGGTGCTGCATTTCCTGTACATGGCCATGCACTGCGTCGACGCGTGTAAGGAGGGCGGGCCGGAGCAGCAGCGGCGGCGGAGGGCGAGGAGGAGGGCCAGGGAGGTGGAGAGGCGGGAGAGGAGGGCTGGGATTGGGAGTGGTGATGTTGAGACGGCGCAGGTTGTGCCGCAGGGTGTACCGCCAAGTTGATGATGGGGGGACTCTTGGCTATTACTGACTTTTTTTTTTGCATTGGGAGTATGGCTTGGGTATGAGGTGTTCTTGGCGTTTGGGAGATGAGGCAATGGGGATTATTCATGAGACATGGACTGAGAGATTTGGTGCGGCCTTGAGCAAGTGCTGGTCTTGGCCGGGGGACACATGAATATCCATGCTCATGACGGCGATTATTGAGGGTAAAAGGACACGTCAGGTCCGTCACCCTGGAGAATGACACTATTTTGGATATCATGGCGCGGACATGGAGAGATATTGGATATCCGACAGCCGTGTCGTAATTCTAGATGACGATCTATCAAGCTCTTATGGGAGATGGAATCTCGAGTAACTTCTAGTACTTTCACACTGTTGAAGGCACAGAGACAGAGAAGATACCCCAGAGTTTTCCAATATCAAAATCCATTACACTTCATTCTACAGAATAACCCATTTTACCTCAGTCTACACCATGCAATGAGTCTACACCACCATCACCAGCAACGTACGTCACTTCCGTCGGATCCGAGCTCTCAGCTACGAACTTCACCTACAGCCCCAATGACGGCCACATTGGCGGCGACTTTGAACGAGAGCTTAGGGCTGCCAGAGGCTTCGGACCGTTTGAAACGTTGGCCACCCTTCTGGTGGCGGCTTTTGGCGCATGTCAAGAAAGTCAATCTACCTTCGTCTGTTCTTTTGAAGAAAAGGTGTCCGCCACCGGTAGGCTAACGTTTACCTTGTCAGTGGCTTCACGTTTCCTTGACATTGATTGATGAATTCTCATGCCGATTCCCAATATATTATTACCGCATTGCAAATCAGAAGCTTTCTCTTTGGGTTTACTCGTCCTTCCTTACACTGGACCTGCTTTTCCCCTCGAGGAACCAATTGGTCAGTACGCCCCGAGATCTAGCTCAGATCCCGCTTGGACTGGTCCCCCGGTGACTAAAGTCAAAGGAGGGACTGGGACCCTTGACATACGCACACAGACATTTCGTTTCGACCCAAGCTCATTGCTCGTAGCTCATAGCTTGGCAGAAGGCAACTCGCGCGAGCTAGTGAAGCATGTCTCGGTATCCGAACAGCCAACGGAGCCGCGGAGTCCCGGGGTGATTGGTACGACCACCGGGTATCCGGTGGAAAGAGTTCTTCAAAGCCAACAGGGGAAAGTGAGCGCCTAAGAAACAATCTCTTTCTTCGAGTCGCCTTGGAACTAAGGAACCGTTTGAGTGGGTTTCCTTATCAATGAGCGGAGCGTTCGGGCCTCGTATTTGGGCAAAAAAAACCTCGTATTCCAACGGCGACGGGGTTCTCGGGGATAGAATACGCAACACACATTAACCTCCAGAGGTCAGAGTCTTCTACACATCACAGCCCAATAAGACAGACTTCATTACGAAGTACATCACCTAGCATCACCCGCCGCACCAGTCCCACGCCATCACGGCCCGGAGGCCGCGCGTCTCCTCCCCCGAGTGCCCGTCCCCGTCCCCGTCCCCGTCCCCTTCCCACATGGAACCTTCGCCCTTCCCTTCCCGCCCTCAACCCACCGTCCCTCCTCGGCCCCAAGCTGCACCCATCCCCTCGTCCCCTCAGGCACATCCCACTCCACGCTCGCAAAGCCACCGCCCTCCTCAACGACCCACTTGGCGCTAAACCGCCCCAGCGCCGTTGTGAACCCGGCCTGCGCCTCCGTCGGCAACCCCTCCGCCTCGGCGCCGAACGAAGCCGGCTTCAGACTCCACTCCCGGCCCGCGGGCGCCTTGACGCGGAGCCCGACGAGGTACTCCGTCATCGCGCTCGTCGGGCCAGAACTCCACCCGTGCGCGTGGCTCACATAGCTCGGGTCATCCGTGTACCCCCGGCTCTTGCGGTATCCGAAAGTGCCGTCGACGAGGTATCCTTCAATCACGGTGGATTCCGTGCCGTTGGGGTGGTTGAGGTACCATCCCCAGCTGTCGCGGATCAGCTGCATGGCGCGGTCGGGGCGGCCTGCGACAAAGTGCGCTTCGATTTCGATGCTGGAGATGAAGGGGGAGATGTTGCCGGGAAGCTCTGGGGAGGCTGGGCCGATGGGCGTCCAGTTTTGTGTGAGGGCTGTGGAGATGGAGGAGGCTTCGGGGCTGGAGGGGGGGATGAGGCCGAAGGCTAGGGCGTAGGCGTTTGCGTCTTGGGGGTGGAGGGTGCGGTTTTTGTAGCCGTCGATGAAAGCGCCCTTTGTTGGGTCCCAGAGGTGGGTGAGGATTGATGTCTTGAGGGATTCGGCGCGGGCGAGCCAGGCTTGTGTGAGGTTTGTCCTTGTTCCTGATGTTTCTCCCGTTGTGAGGTTTGAGGTGTCAGTGGGAGCGAGGTCTGCGAGAAAGGCGCCGGTGGTGAGGGTGCGGTAGAGGAGCATGTTCGGCGCGCTGCCGTTCAGCGAGTTGACGTAGCGCGCCCAGTCGCCCGGGGCCGTGGCATTCAAGATTCCCGTCTCGGGTATGACTTTGCCGTAAATGTAGTCCATCGCCTTGAGGTACGTCGCCCAGTTCTCCGCCAGCCAGTCGGTATCCCCAGAGAAGAGAACGTAGTTATACGCGCCAATCATGGTCCACATGTGATACGTATCGCTCGTCGCATCTAAATACGGCGGTCCCGCGCGGGGGAAGATCCCAGACTCCCGCTGGAAATGAAACATTGTCTGGATCGCGTTGCGCGCGGACTCGAGGTCGCCGGTACTGACGAAAGCGGAGGGGACGGCGACGCCCATGTCGCCGGGCCAGATCCAGCGGTCTCGTTTGGCGCCGTCGAGGAGGAGGGAGGAACCTACGCCGAGCCAGGCGTCGTTGGACCAGCTTCCGTTGGTGATGTCTTCCGTGAGGACGCGGCCTGTTTCGGGGGGCGCGGCGTTGGTTTGGAGGGTGTAGGCGCCCGCGTACCAGATTTTGTTGAGAGTTGGGTTGGAGGAGTGGAAGTAGCCTTGGTAGGCGCGGAGGTTTGACCATGTTGGTTGGAAGACGACTTCGAGGGCGATGTCGTTGATTGCGAGGGTTGGTGAAGGGGTCGTTGTGGTATTTGTCATGAGGTAGAGGGTGAGGTATCGAAAGCCGCCGCGGAGCTGGGGGAAGGGGACGGTGTAGGAGCCCGGTCCGGGGACGGTGATTTGGTGGAAGAGGGCGCCGTCAACGGAGATGAGGGTTTGGCCTGGACCGCGGTAGTTGCCGTTGGAGTTGTCCGAGTACTCGCCGATCCAGTTCTTTGCTTCCGTCCAGGCGAGGCCGAGGGTCACGGGCTCGGTGGCGGTGGTGGTGGTGTTGCCGGTGCCGGTGCCGGTGCCGGAGAGGGTGTAGTTCACCGAGGTGAGGCCGCCGACGAGGACGCCAAAGTCAAAGACGAGGGCGGAGCCATTGCCGCTGAGGGATTGGGACTCGGGGGAGGGGAAGGAGGCGAGATGGTCGCCTGTGGCGAGGGAGAGGATGGATTTTGGGCGGGCTGTGCGGGAGTCTGGGGCGTAGATATTTTCGTCCCAGGGTCCCGGGAAGGAGGCTTCTGTTGGGTGGGTGCAGGTTGCGTTGCGCCAGCAGGATTGGGCTGCTGTGTTTGTGACGAGGAGGGCGAGGCCTAGCAGGAGGGAGGATGAGGAGACCATTGTGGGCGGACGTGATGCGATGTGGCACCTTGGTCTCGAGCCCTAGACGCGAGGCGGGAAGGAAGTGAAGTTGTTCAGTTCGCGATATGTTGTGCGGCTTGATGGGGTTTTGGGGTTGTGTATCGCGGCATTGCTACCCCGAGGCAAGCGTGTTGATGTTGTCCCCCCCATGACATGGGCATCAGGGATTCAAGGGATGTCAATGCCTCGAATTAGCCTAAGCTGAGCGTCCCCGCAAGGCCCCTCTGTCCGTGGAGTCATTGTCATCTCGACTCTGAGTTCCTTGGTGGGAGTGGCGGGCACGAGGTGATGTGGTATTTCTCCCGGCCCCATGGGGTTCGGTGACTTCGGGTCAATGATGGGTGGTTAGGTTTGGGGGAACTTTCTGCAGCTCTGCAGCTGGAGAGTCGGGGGGTTCCTTTGGATCTTGAGTAGGGGAGAGATGGCGTGGGAGTCGATCGCTTGGCAGAGAGAAGCAGGGGAGTCTCTAGTATGTAGTACAGAGTAAGCAAGGAGCGAATCATGAGAGGAGAAGAAGAAGAGGAGGGGGGGGGGGGGGGGGGGGGAGGAGGAGGAGGAGGAGGAGGAGGAGGAGGATCAATGGGAAGAGAAGAAGGGCGAGGAAGAGGAAGAGAGTGCGGGGTTGAGGGAGGAGTCTTGGAGGTCAAGTTTGTGGGGTAATCTGGAGAAGTGGAACATTGTTTCTTGGCACCACCCTTGTTCTTGGTTGAGTTGAGATGGTTCATCTAAAGTCATCATCGTCTGATGTTTGGAGTTGGCTTATTTGGGTTGGAAGGTTGTGTTCTGTAGATTACACTCGTGTAGTTACGCGTGTCTTGACGTATACCTTTGATCTGTTTGCTCAGGGTTCTCACATGGAAACAGATCATCTTGTAGAGTTTGTAAGCGGTGGGCTGTGACACCTGGACTAAAACAAGATTCACAGTATTGGAGAGTCTCGCAGGCCAAGATCTAACTATAAAAAATGAACTAAAACTATAATCACATCACCATCTCATGCCTTGGAAATGGTGACCTCAGACTGTCCGCTAGACAAGTCAACAAGATACCCTCCCCTCGTCACGCTCGCCCCAGACACCGTAAACTTGGCATCTCCCGACGTCGTCTCCAACCAAACGACAGTCGAATTCGCCTTGAGCGCCGCCTCGGACGCCGCAGCACCAACACTCAACTTCACCGTCTGGCCCTCGCGGTTATAAGTGACAGTCTGAATCGCACCGGCGCTAAGCGCAACCTTGAGCCCCAAATCCGCAACAAACACCCGCCGCCTCACCGCGTCCCTCGGCTCAGCGACCACGGACGTCTCATCCGACGTGACAACGTTGCCGCCAAAGACAAGCTCGCCGTACGTCGCGTGGTTGACAATGTACACTCCCTGACCGAGTCCCAGCCCCAAAAACCCGAGGCCGTAGTCGCCGGTATACGGGTCCCAGGCCAAGTGCTCCGGGAACGAGTGGAACGCCGCCGAGGGGCATCCGTCGGCGTCAATGTTGGTCAGGGGCGCCGTGTTGCCGGCGAAGGCGACGCGGAGGGCGTTGACGTCGGATGGGTTGCGCTCGTAGTGGTGCAGCATCGGCAGCGAGTTGAGGCCGGAGCCGTAGTGGTGGAGCTGGCGCTCGATGCCCTGGTGCTTGGCGCCGTAGAGAAAGTCCCAGTAGCGGCGGGCGTTGCCGTTCCAGCCCCAGTGGGCGACGGTGGGCATGTAAGCTCTGATGCTGTTGATTGCTTTGATGGCGGTGCTGTTGTGGCCAAAGTATCTGTTGCGCTGATGTTAGTCGATGTGTGTAGGAGTTTGTGGTCTGCTTCGAAGACTTACTCGGTCCAGTAGTAGACGCCTTCCTGACCGGTGCTATCCCACGCCATCTCGCTTCCAAACGGAACAGCCAGCGTCTCCCAGAACTCGGCGCGGAAGCGCATGTTCGCCTCAAAGGTGGTAGCCTCCTGCGTCATGTTCTCCCTCTTCAGGTCCTCCAGCAGTTCCGCAAACACCGTCTCGCCCATCAACCCAGTCAACCCGTAGTCGCAGTCCTCGGCGCCGTTCTTCATGCAGTGCGTCACCGTGTTATACGCCTGCGTCAAGTACCAGGTCCAGTCAGCCCGGGTCTTGACCTGCGGGTAGTCCCTCGCCACGCGGTACATGGACCAGTACGCCACTACGGGATGGACGTAGTTATACGCGCGGACGGTAGTGTACGCCCTCTCCTTAGTCCACGACGCCCAAGACGTCCAGTCGCGCGAGGTGTCGTAGGCGTAGTCGACGGCGTCGGGCTGGTAGAAGAAGGTGCTCGCTCGGACGGCGAAGGAGTCGTTGGCGGGCTGGATCGTGCCGACGATGGTGTCGTGGATGAAGTCGTCCAGGACCGCCACCTCGGCCTCGACGGGCTGGACAAAGAGTTTCGTGGCGGCGGCAACGTAGGCGCCCGTACCGCCCTCGTCACTCAGGCCCGCGATCCAGACGCGCTCGTCTTGGGTAACGATGGCTTTCGCCTCCTTGTCGTAGCCCATGATGGACGGCGCGCGGCCAAAGGGGTCCGAAGCGTCGGTAAAGTGCGCGGCGGTGGTGAGGAAGTGGCCCAGGTCTGAGACTGTCTCTGGCGCGGGCTTAGTGATGTAGTACTGCACCACCTGCGTCTTACCGTCCTCGTAGGTGATTGTCACCTTTGCGCGGCCCCAGGCGCCGGCGGTCGGCGTGAGGAGGTAAGGTGAGCCCTTTGCGGCGGTGTCCTGCTTGATGGTGAATGACCCCTGGCTGTCGATGGTCTTTACTGGGGACGAGTGCGTGAGGTAGAGCCTGGCTGTAAGGTCGGTGGGCACGACGTAGCCCGGGATACCCACGGCGAGGGGGATCTCCGCCTTTGTGACGGCGTCCTCGATGGTCTGGATGCTCTCCGCGGCGACAAACTTGAGTCCGACAGAGTACGTCTCGCCGGCCCTGAGGGTCTTCGACGTGGGCGTGTTCCAGGGCGTGGCGCCCTTCCACTCGGTCTCCGCCCACGCTTGGGAGTGAATCATCCACTCATAGGTGCCTTCGTAGGTCTGCGACTGGTAGTAGTAATCGCCCTGTGGCTCATTGAGAAGTCTCCACGCCTCGAACGGGCTCGCGCCGAGCGGCGCGACGACGAGGGCGTTGCCGAGGCCCTTTACGGGGGAGACGCGGACATAGCCCGCATCGAGACCGATGTACGGGTCCGCGAGGGAGCACTTTGCCTGCGTCTCCTCGGCCGAAGGGCGCGAAAAGATGTTGTTGATGGCGACGGGCAGACCCAGGGCGCCGAGCTCGACGGTGCCGTTGGCGGTGTTTGTAAAGTTGACTCTCAGAGCGAGGCCCTCGCCTGCGGGAAGCCACTCGCGCGTCACGGTCAAGGGCACGCCGGAGGGCAGCGTCGCAGCGAGGTCTGCGGCCGCAATGACGCCCGGAGCGAGGTCCGCGAGGGCTTTGACGGGGTTCCTGGCACTGGCGGAGTCGACGGTCGTCCAGTTGCTGGCGCCATCGAGCTTGAAGCGGAAGGAGACGTCGCCGATATGGTGGGCGCCGTTGAAGGTTAGGTTGGCGAGGAGGTCCGAGGGGAGGAAGTCAAAGTCGGTTCCGGGCTTGAGGGAGGCGAGGGTCTGGGAGTCCTTGACGAGTTGGCCGGTGAATTGGCCGGCCTTGAAGTCAAGGAAGCCGTTTGCTACGCCGAGGTCATCGCTGGATTGGGCCTTGACGAGGGACGTCAGCGCCAGCGTGAGGGCTGGTAGAAGTTGTGCCCGAAGCATCGTGGAAGATGTGGCTGATCTTCTGATTAGGTCGATTACAACGATAGCTGATGCTTGTTTTTAGCCAAGAAGGGAGGCGTCTATCTATTTATCGCTGCGTATGAGCTCTAAAGAAATGCCTCCATCATCATTGAGGTAGCATTTCCGTACTGATCTGCGTCATGGACCGTTAATTTCCCCATGGTTTCATGCGATCTGGAGCCCGCCACCCATTGTAGAAGCTCGGGAACCATTGATACGAGCCAGGACGCTCTTACATTCGGTCGCATCGTCTGACCTTGCGTGCCTTGTCGGCTATTACCCAATGATCGACAGGTCCGGTTGCTGTTCTCTGCAATCTGCGAGATGGAGGGGTTGCCGGATGTAAATGTCCATGTACGTGAGCGGGGCGGGCTAGTTTTCCTTTGCGGGTGCGGATACGGGAATAGAGTCGAGGGTACGGAGTAGAGTAGTGCTTGTCTTCCATTATTCGTGGATCCTTAAAGCCCTCTCTGAATTGCAATTAGTTCATTACTGGGGTAGCGAGGTTAGATCGGGACCGAACCCGAGTTGCGTATGGGCTTTTTGGTAGTCGATCGGTCGCGAGGATGTTGGTTGCAACGTAGCTCCACTAGCCAGTCCGGGGGCTAGTCTTGGTGATTATCTGATGACTTCTCGCCGTGGTTGCAAACTACCCAAAAGGGATGAATGAGAATTGACAATATAGAGTTGCTGTTGTAGAAACTCTTTGTTGGTTTAACTCGGTTGGTTGTGAAAGTTTAAGGATTACCAGCCGCTCTATGTTTCGCGATACCGAAAAAAAGTCGGTGTCACCGATATTAATCGACTCAGGAGAAAAATAAACTTTTAAAGGAATGAATTAAGGGTGCGTTCTTCTCACAAACGACAACTCCCAAAAAGACCCACAGCTTCATGCTTCATCCTGGACCATTGTGAATGACATCCACTCGTTGTCCTCCCATTCCATTGAGTTGACAACGTCTATAATTTGCTGCGTCGTCAAGTCCTCCGCCTGACTGCTGCTGTCTTTGCTCAACTCTCTGTACACTGGCAACGTCGTTTCTTGACTCAACGGCAATCTCGTTTCCGCTGGCACAGGGGCCGGTAGGAGAGGGACTGGTACGTCTGACTGTTGTTGCCAGTCTGGTTGTGGTAATGGCTCCTGCTGCTGTGCGACAATGGTCGTCGAGTCAGCCAATAGCCGCGGTCTAGTTGCGTCGAAATCGAGCAGCATCTCCTCCAACTTTTGCATCTCCTTCTCTCTAAACTCGGCAATGAGGTTGCCGCTTGCTACCATTTCTTCGACGATGGCGTGTGACTTGTCGAGCCAGGGGACTTGGCTCTCTATGAGACGCGAGTCGACCCCGCGGGCGACGAGTAGAGCGATTGTTGACACGAAGAGAGAGTCTAGATCTAGTGGAAGGAATGTTTCTGTGTTTGGTATCAGAGCTGATCCTTGATTGCGTGGAGAGGGTTCATTTTGTGACCAACTTACCAAGCAGCCCCTGCGCTCTTAGTCGATCGAGAATGTTCAAAATCTGTATAGCAGACTCTGCGCACATCTGAAGCGGGTTCCGAACTTTTGGCGATGCCATCAACGAGTCCGCCTCGAGCGGGGAGTTGAATCTCTTGATCAAACAACATAAGAGCAGAGGTCGAGTCGCGAGGATGATGCACTTTAACCATACAATTAGCAAAAAACTCAAAACCGGGGAAAATCGCCGGCGTAATTAACGTCTCTTCGTACGCACCTGGTAGTAAAGGAGATGCAAGTGGGCAGAAAGTCTCGAGATGCCGTCAAAGCGTTCATCCGCAAACAATGGAAATGAAGTACGCAGCTCATCGGCCACGGCAACGATGCTTTGCAGCACCGCCTTTGTGCTCAGGACGAATTTCTTGTTGAGACGGCCGTTTGCACCGTAGACGGCTAGGTGAGGGGAAGGAAGAGGTCAGCACGTAGGGCCTTAAGCGATGATGGGTGAGTTGGAGACGAGTAGTACTTACTGCTACTTATTTCTGCAATGATTCGAGCAAACTTGATCTGCATGCTCAATGCAGTGGTGCGGTGAACGGAACCTGGATATGATGGAAGCTGGCAAAAGACGCCCTCGTCCAGAGTTGATTGAGGCAGCCCCATCAATGAGGTCATTTGCCGGTCGAGAACGTAGACTGTCCACCAGATCTTGCGGCATCGTTGAACTAGGCCCGGTCCCAGGTCCATAACCGGCATGTCTGTATGCATGCCGTGGTTCATTGCCACGCTTTTGGCTTGTCCAATCTGTACAAGTTTGATTAGTCTCGAACTCTCATCCCTCAAGTCTCTTCAGAAACTGGACTCACAAAGTTGTGCGCTGCATGTCGAAAGTCCAACGCTTGATAATACCACGCCATCGAGCACAAAATCTCCGTCGACATGATAGGCTCCTTACATAGCGCCGTAACATCAGGCAGAAGCTGCAGCGCCCGCACAAAGAAATCCGCCCCGGCCGGCCTATTATTCCCCTGCGTCTTTCTCTGGATGAGGCTCTTGCCAAACGCCAGGATCACGAGGAAGTGGATGTACCAGAGACTGTTCTCCTCTGCCCGGTCAGTCGAGGACTTGGCGTAAAACGTCTGCATGTGGAGCATGAACTCTTCTTCCTCAAAGAGGTGGAACATTTGCCCGCAGTGGAACTTTACGGCGTTGATGAGGAAGATGGCGTAGTCGTGGCTCGGGATGAGTCTGTTGTCGAGCGTCTGCGTCGTTCGGGAGCCATCCCAGCCCAGGTCGTAGGCGAAACCGTCGAAGAGGAGGCTGTTTGTTGGGAGGGGGGATTGGCAGACATGCTCATGGGTGACGCTTAGGACTTGGCGAGAGAATGACCAATTCGATGAGGAGCCGAGGAAGTCTATATTTGGGTGAGTGGTGTGTTGTATGTAATTGTCAGGGCAAAGACCTCACATGGCTGTCCATTGGATTCGGACATGCAGAATCGAGATGGCGTTGCAGTAAGAGGATTCGTCAAGTCTGGGCCATCTCCATCTCCCGGTGGTGAGTTCCCGCCTGTTCCCTCTGGCGTATGATAACTTCGTCTACGCTCATCGAAGCGTGAAGGGTTATTTGGGTCATCTAGCCCGACTGAATAAGCATGACCATGACAAACGCGCAGCCGAGGAGATCATACCTTCACGACACGCGACAGCATCGTCATCGCCATCAGCATGCCTTAAACTTTGCTCCACCAGGGCTCTTGCTTGAGCTCGTTCTAGACGTGCCACCTTTTGCTGCAACTCTGACAGATATCTGAACGAAAGTAGAGTGTCAGCAGAGGGCTACCCAGTTGCATGTATGTCGACAGTTGCTAGAGTCACTACTGACCCCTGCGTCACCATAACCTTGTTATCCCGCTCATCAAAGATACATGTCAACCGCCTCTGCGTACAATTGTTGCACGGGTGAAGGCCCGAGCACTTGATCTTTTGCCTCCGACATCGCGAGCAGCTAGCGATGCCGTGTCAGTAAGGTTCTGCTTCGCGAACAGTGAGAGGGTATTGAGGTACGCACGCATAAGATGACCGTTTCGTGATACGACGTTGAGTATTAGAAGACTCCATTTTCAGGGCTATAGCAACTGATTTTCCCAACTTGGCCTCAAACTCGGAAGCACTTCCAGAGGTTGGCAAGCGTAGGGCAGTGTGAGTTGTGGTGTACGGTGGATAAGGTATCCGAGTGACGTCTCGCCCAGCAGCCCAGAACAACAGAGATATCGGAAGGGCAGTCCGAACTTCTAACAATTCAGGGTGCGGGGTTTCGCTCTACCGCTGCCCGCAGCAACTAGTTCATCGTATTCCCGGCAGTCCGCGTCCGAAAGCGAGGTAGTTTAGATGGAAGATAAGACTGAGGGCATGACTGGTCCGCTTAGCAAGGGAACCCTAGATTATGGCTATCTCCAAGTTCCTATTCGAGCTGTGTTTTCTTGCTGTTGGTTCCGTGCGGGGTGCATGTCAACCCGTTGCAAGCCGCAGCCAAGCACGGAGAGATAGCACTGCGAACGTCGGGGATGTTAACGTGGGGTCACCGTTATCGCTGCTTCCGACCCTGGGTGCAACACTATGGGTCTGTTCATCCCTCAACTGGAACTCTACTACGCGGCATCAAAATGAAAGGTGCAAAAGCCATCACATCCAATAGTGAATCGAGGCAATTCATGTTTCTCTTGTAAGGTGTGAGCGCTCTAGTCCACGGTTCCGTGGCTGTCAGCACAACAGCTTCCTCCGCCAATGGCACATGTTCATGGCCACCACCACCTTTATGTCTTCCACGTGCCTCTCATGCCGATTGAAAGCAATCCATGATCCCACTTCGACATCGGAGCCTGGGTCGCGACGAATGTCCGACAAGTTCAATTCGGAAATACTCGCTTTTTTGGTGAATAACTCTTTCATCTCGGCGTAACTCAGCGACTCTCTTTGCAGAATGTCTTTCAACTCCGTGGGCGATAGCACGAGGTCGGCTTCCTGGCCCTGCTTCTCCCGCTGGAGCTTCCAGAGGGCAATGTGCCCGATCACAGACCAGAGAAACTCCTTACAATTCTCTGTTCGACAGCTCTCGCTTGAAAAGTTCAGACCAATTTTGAATGAAACACCTCCTCTCTCCAGGAGCATCGTGGAACCTTTCCAGACAGAGCCGTTAGGGAAACGTTTTTCCAAAGTATCCACGTATCCAAGGGCAGCAACCCTCACTTGGTCTAGAAGGTAGTTGTTAGTAAGAAACTGGAATGACCGACATGCAGGCTCAACCTGCTCACTCACCAGGGGTGAGAAACGGCTTCGTCTCATCCGTGTAATCGAAACACTCAGTCATGGCCTGCTGTTCTCCGTATGTATATTCGAGTGCTTAATCTCAGGGTTTGTCGAATGAACGTGTTGCTTGGAAGTTCTGTCTGCCGCTTGGATCCGAAATTCTTCGTGTTGAATGTGATGCTTTGCGTCTGCCAAGAAAAAAAAAAAAGAGTGAATGGAAAAGATAGAGTCTGCGAGAGACAAGTGCTGGTAGTATAAATTTTCAAGTAGTTGGTGATTGGGTGGAGAATAAAGCAACTGACGGTTCCACGAAACGCCCTCTTGAAGCTTGAACAGAATCGCTGGGCTCTTTGTGCCCTACTCGACCGTCTGGGTCATTTGGCCATTCAAACTTTCTGAAAACCACCATTTCAATCATTCGGCGAACTCACCTGGGTCATACCGTCCCACTTCTATCCACAGGCTCTTCGGGGCCCGAACAGTGATATCCTGGCTTGCAAGGCTCCCAGCGGCGGTGCAGTCAAGGATAAATGCAAGTACGTACTGAGACAATACGAAAAGGTGAGGACATTTGGGGTAGGGTAGATGAGATGTGCACTGATACAATATGAAATCTCTGGAAGAATGACGACCAACAGGCTGTGGCGACGAAAGGAAACGACCATTCAGAAGTCCAAACTGCCTGGTAGCGCATTTAAAATGAAACCGCGGCATGAAGAGACCGTTAATCAAGCCAAAGCGTCGTGAAATCGAACTAGGATAAGATGGAAGTGAATGGGAGTGTATGCGAGCCGCAACAAGAGTGCAATACAAGTGAATCACTGAGGGAGATCGGGAACGGTGAAACGCAGTGAAGCTACCACAAAGTAATGGTTCGGACTTCGGGGAGGCGTGTAATACTGGAGGAGTGTGTGCTGCGGGAACGGCTCATCATGCCCGATATTCATGGACACGGAGGCGGAGGGATGTGGGCCTATCATCTCAACATCCGCTTCGAGAGCAGCAAATGCTTGCAGCCAGCTTGGTTAAGTGCCTAGATTAAGTATCAAGGAAAGCGTGATTTTGTTATCCCGCAGGTCAGACATGTTCGAGGTAAGGCTAAGTACCTTACTTAGGCATCTTGAGACCACATATCGCACGGTTTGCTGCTATGCACATGGACCATCCGTTCGATATCCCACTAAATACTAGAGAGCATCAGTACGTCCGTTTCCAATCCTGCCTTGATTGTTCTTGGTTGCTAAGTTCTTCAAAGTTGGGAGTAAAGGAAATAGGGCCGGATTAGAATACACTTCGTTGTGGCTAATTATAAAATTACTTATATACTTCGATTATCACACCCAGTGACATGGTTGACGGTGACTCTGCAGCCGTTGCCAGAATGCTTCGACCCGTACCTACCGCAACCGCCTTTAGTACCGTTTCTGATATTTTGATACGCACACCACATATCATCGCCCGTGATCTTGCAGTACTTGCCATCAGTGTACTTGGCATATGGCCTTTCCACAATGAAGACACCGCATCCATATTAGACCAGCAATTTCCGTTGAGGGTGTTCACCCTGATGTGATGTGCCGTCAGCTTGGTTCTCGTCGACAAGGTAAATCCACCGTGACAATTAACATATCACTGGGTTGAGTACCAGGACTCCTTGCCTCGTTGGAGGTAGTTTACGGCGTGATCGCAATGCCTCAGCATGTTGAGAGTACTCCCACACCAAAACCACTGCCTTGGCAGTCATACGGAACCGTCGGCGTTGATTTAGGCGGCTCTGGCTCCGGTGTGGAGGTGCTGGTAGTAGTTGTGCTCGTCAAAGTCTTTGTCGCGTATACTGACTCTATGTAATTCCAAACGTCCGTTACCATCGCCGCCCCAGCGCCCTACACAAATCAGGGATCGTCGTCGCCAGCTGTACATGGTCCCGGGTATGTGATAGTGCTCGTGCTCGCAAAAGCCGTCTCAGTCCCTCCGCAAGATGTCGGCGTCATTGCACAGCTAGTCGCAGTCATCCGTCATCGTCATCACCGTCGTCGTCTTAGGCAGAACTGTCGCTGGGCGGTCGACTCCACAAGACTTCACAATTGTTTTCTGAGTCGCATGGGCAGACTGAGCCCTGGCATTCACCTCCTGGACCCACATCTCCGCCGCCGGTACTGCCTGGGCAGCCGAAGATCGGATACCCTCCATGGTAGCCGCTGAGACCGCAATTGGTACCACCGTAGCCGAAGATACCGTACTGTTCACAGCCGAAGAGGCCGCAGCCGCCTCCGCAGCCAAATCGACAATCTCGCTCGCCGCACTTCGTCTTGCATCCGTCTGTGTTGGGCAATTTCTGTGTGTAGACTGGCACGGGAGGCTTAGGGAAGTTGATGGAGTGTGTTGGGGGAGGCTGTATGGTTATGGTCGTGCGGCTTGGTGCTAGTGTGTTAGACGCAGGCGGTGGAGGTAGAATGGTATAGTTGGTAATCGAACCTGACACCACAATAGTCTCAGTCAAGCTTATCAGTGTGTTGCCAACCACTTGTATCGTTAGAGGCGGCACGATGCTTTGGGTAGGTGTCACAGATGTCCGGACAGGATCGCCATTGCTCACGACAACAGGCCAGAAGCTGACGACTGAGGCGGTGAAGACGGGATTCGTGATGGTAGTCGTCTTGAATATGGATATGGTTCCGCCAATGGACCAAAGAGACGTCGTGATAGCCGGCCACGAGACCTTGAGAGGCTTCTCCAATGTGAGGCGCGGCCAGTATATGGTGAATGGTGGGAAGCAAGACACGGCAGGACTTGCACTTGACCAGAGATCTGTTGTTGTTGTTGTTGTTGTTGTATTTAACGCCGTGGCGGCCGGGCTAGAGCCCTTACCGCAGACCTCCCGAAGGGTATATGGCGTGGAGGGCCGTGAGCCAAGGCTACCTACTCTACAGTACGTCGTCTCTTTACATCGTCCTCCAAATCATGCCTTGTGGCCACTACGCGTTCTGTCTGTCCCCGGTTCCCGCTGGTGCCCCAGTTTCATTCTTTCCCAAATCGTCCCTTGGAATCGGGAGGTTCTTTGTAGTCCGCACTCACATCTACGTAGGTGTGGATGCTGCTACCGCAGACAGATCTTCTGGAAGAAGTCCGTCACGCGGAGAAAGGCCTCGAAGCCTCGTGGGTCGGTGATTAATCTCTTGAAGTAGGCCTCGAGAGATCCCATAGGGCCTATGGGCTCGGGCATACTGCGAGAGTGGAGGGTCGGCCACCGTTGCCTCCTCGCCAGCGTTAGTCGACAGTAGACCAGGTGGTCCACGTCTTTCGCCTCTCCACAAGAGCACATCATTAGAGCGTCGTCGTGGTTGAAACGTCGGTGATATTGCTCGAAGTCCCCGTGACCCGATCGTGCCGCCAGCAGGTGATGTAACGTAGCCCGCGGCAAGGCCAGTTCAGGAGGGCTGGACAGAGCTGCCTCAAGCCCCAAGTCCGCGTACCGCGGCCTTCGCTCTTTATACCACCATCTCCTGTGCTGGCTTTGTAATTTTTCCCTTGCAAGCCGCTTGATGCCCGCTAGTGTTGCCATTTGACCCATCCGCGCCGGCAGTGTCGTTCCTTCTTTGGCCAGCCGGTCCGCGGCCTCGTTTCCTTCGATGCCCTGGTGTCCCGGGGACCAGTGCGTCCGTATATCAAATATCCTGGCCGCTTCTTGGATTTCGAGGAACGCGTCTTGTGACGAGTCCGGCGCCTTGCCGCGGATGCCTTGTATAACGCTGGTGTTGTCGATACATATGTGGATTGGATGACCGCGATTGGTGAGCAGAGCCCTTCTGAGGCCGGTTCGCGCCCCTTCGACCTCGGCGTCGAACACTTCTGCTAGTCCGAGTCGGCCGCACCCTTGTGCTATGCGTTTGGAGTCTCGGTAGATGACGAAGCCGTACCCCACGGCTCCGTTCGTCGCCCTGGAGCCGTCCGAGAAGACGATCATATGGCTTTCCGGTACTGTCTTTAGCCAGCGCTCGAAAGCTTTCGCAGCCTCTTCTTTGCATTGAACTACTATCTGATCCTGTGAGCTTGGCAGGTACTGTGATTGAAGGAACGCTGGTCTTCCGCATCTTGGCAGAAGTTCAGCCGTCCGTTGT